CCTGCCCTGCTTTATTCTGTCTCGCACCCCAACCGCCAGATCCGGAAGCGGAGGTTCTCACATGTGGGGGGTGGGGGGGGTATCTCAGAGGGTCTGGTCCCAGTGGTGGGCCACAGAGGGGTCTGGGAAGGAGAGCGGAGAGCCGGAGAGAGGGGCAAAGAGGCTGAGAGCAAGAGACAGGCACAGAGAGAAAGACAGGGAGAAAGAACAGGGGGGAGAGTGACAGACACCAAGAAGCAGAATGGAGACTGAGAACAGGGCGTGATCCCCAGAGAAAAGCAGGGGAGGTGTAGTGGCCTCAGAGAAGGGAGAGGAGAGGAGGGGGGTGTCCAGAGGAGGGGGTATGGAAGCCCCTGCCTGGTGGGACAGGGGCAATAGGGTAGATGCCCCTGGATGGCCCTTAGACTGCCTGTGTGACTCTCTCCCCTTGGGACCCCAGTGAAGAGGGGCTGTGGATAGAGTGCTGGGCAAAGCCACACCCTCACACCCTTCTCAGTTCCCCTGGCCTCTGTCCCCCCACTGGCCTCTGTCCCCCACAGCCCTGGCCTCTGTTCCCCCATAGTCCCTGGCCAGCAGACAGCAGATACTGACACACAAGCTCAAGCAAGGGGCTTGCTCCATGGCAAAGGGGGTGGGACAGGCAGCGATGAGGACAGACCCTGTGAGATCCTGTGGTCTAGGCCACAGTCTTCGCTCCAGGTTCAGGGTTTCTGGAATGACCCATCTCATCCACCTGCATTAGGATTTGGGGTATTGGCCCTGCCCAAGGGAGGGGCAGGCATGCAGGGCAAGGGGACCCCCTGAGCTGCAGGAGCTGGCGCACCCCAGTCAGACATTTCTCAGTGTGGTCTAACACAATGAGCCCTCAGTGAGCCCACCCTGGCATGGTCAGTGCCAAGGGCCCTGGGGGTGCCACCCAGCACCCCAGTTCCTGGGGAGGTTGTTCCAGGCCAGGCTCTGTCGGCCACCAGAAGAGTCTAAAGACCAGGCCACCAACCGATAGAGCCCCGGACTCCTGGAGCCTGCTTTCCTGGGGACAGAGGACAGCCCCTGGGGACAGAGCTGGGAGGGGACTTGCCCATCCACCCACAGAGCTGGCCTGAGCCTGGATTTCCTGTGAGAGCACAGAGGGGCACGGTGAGGGCTGGGGGCGCCTCCAGGCCCTCAGCTCTGCTCGGGAGTCAGGCAGGGACCTCCTGACGCGGTGTCCGGAGAGTGGGCCTGGGATCCAGAGAGAGAATCAGTTTCAGAGTGAAGCGTTCAAGACCTGCTGGGTCAGGGGGAGAGCAGGATTCCCAACCCCCTTTAAAGTACAGGCCTCAGCCTCCTCCCCTGGAGTCTCCGCAGGAAGATGGGGAGGAGCCAGAAAAATTCTATGGAAGAAGCTCAGGGTGTGCAGCTTTGCTCCTCTTCACGCCGCCCCAGGGGCGCCCTGTCCATTGTGGGTCAGCCGCATGGACCCCCCCAAGTGGACCTGCCCCCTGGAGCTGGGGGAGGGGCTTCTGTGGAGCAGGGTGGCGGGGGGCCGGGAGGTCTGCTGCCTTTGTTCACTGTTGTGCCCACAGTTCCTGGGTGGCAGCCCCTGAGTGCCTACTCCCTGGATGAAGGAGAGAAGGAAGGAACGAATGGCCCAGGAGCCGCTTCCTTGCTGAGTGGACTTGGCCATGTGGCTCCTCTGAGATGCTGGTTCCTCGTGTAGAAAATGCCTCAAACACAGCGAGAGACCCTCAGTAGAACGATCGGCGCAGAGCAGGCCCATCACTAGGGGACTGTTTCCTATGGAACCGCGACGCCTTTGAGAGTGGAACAGGGCACTGATCACAGTTCTGCGGGGACGGTGGGCACCCACGGCTCGCGGTCCCTTCCAGTGTGACTTTGCCCAGACAGCAAAGCTCGCTGGGCCGCGTTTGCTCCTCTGCTCTGGAGCACCCTGAAGTCAGAGGGTGCTGTCTGAGGCCCTGCAGCAACCCCATCCTGGGCTAGCATTGGGGGGCATACGCCCACCTGCCTGCACCCCCCCAGCCACCGTCCATAGCCTCTCCCTCTGGCTCCAGGCTTTGCCCACCTTCCTCTTTATCTAAATCTCCCTGACCCCTGTCTTTCCGGGCCCAGGAAGCCCGCGGACACCCCCTGAGGGCCTTGGCTGGGCTCCGGACATCACAGCGCTGCCCTCAGAGGCTTAGGTGCAGCCGCGGGAGGGGCCCCTGGTTTCATGGCATCTTCCTGGCCGGGCATGGATCTCATTCACAAAGCCCTGCTGGGCTGGCTGGGCTGGGGCACCCACGCAACCCACCCCACGGCGACCTCCGCCCCTCCCCTCCAATACGGAACCAGGTGGGGGGTGTAATGTGGTAATAGCGACCCTGTTAATTGCTTCCAAATGGTCACTGTAGCCATTTGACTAATTGGTCTCTTCCAGACCCCGGCCTGGACACCCCCAGGCCTGGCCCCAGCCCACCTCACCAGGATTCCCGAGACCGCTGCTCTGGGTGCCCCCGCCCCCAAGTCCCCTCCCAGCCTATCTGGTACTTGTGTGACATCCTGTGACCCCACCCTCGGGTTCGGGCCTCAGCTCTCCAGAGCCTTCCCCTGGAGAGGGAACCAAGGGAGGGGACGGAACACAGAGCAGTGTCCTGTGACAGGGTCCCAGCCTGCCCACAGGGGTGACTGCCAGATGGGGTGCTGGCTTCAGGCCCCAAACTCTGTGTTATTGTGACCCTCCAGAGCAGTGGGAGTGAGCCCCGGCCTCCAGCGCCACCTGGAGCCAGTGGGCCCTGAAACCCTGGCAGCCCTGCCTTACGGATGAGAAAGGAAGGCTCAGAGACCCGATGAGACTTGCGCAGGGTTACACAGCTGGGAGGTGAGGCAAGGCCACTGGAACCTCCGTCTGTCGGCTCACCTCTGCCACCTGATAGCTTCATCCCCTAGGCTGCGGATGGGTCCCGGGCCCGCGCAGTAGGCTTTTTGCTGTCTCTGCCTTTGCTTCTGGCCAAGTTAGAGGCCATGAGCACCAGGTGCGGGACTGGAAGCAGAATCTCCACACACAGCTGGGCTAGTTCTCTGCCTGTGGGTAGACCAGCTGGCTGCCCTCCCAGCAAGGCCACCCACTCCTAAGGGCAGAGTGTGGTCCCAGCTCCAGATAGGAGCTGACCAGTTAGGGGGGTACAGCTCCCTCTTGGCCTCCCAGATGGCACCAGTGAGGGGCTCCTTTAGTCTCAGGAATCCTGGGCTTGACCACTGCCTGTGCCCAAGGACAGTGAGGGCTGCTGGGTGCAGAGAGGAACAAGAACCCCCTCCTCTATGTCAGCCGGACCTTGGGCTGCGTCCAGCTCCAGAATGGGGTCGCCGACCAGGAGCACCTCCGGATTACGGCCTGGCAGCCCTGATAAGGGCTAAACCTGTGAACCACAGCCACGAAATCACCCCCTACCCCCAGCCTACCTGGCCTTTGCACATGCTGGTCATTCCACCTGGGGCACCGGCTGCCCTTCCCTTCTAGAAACACCTGCTGTTCCTGCAAGACCCAATGCATCACACCTGGACGCGCCCGCCACCCCATAGAGCCCGTCCCCCTCCCGTCATGCGCCCCAGTCCAGCAGAGATGGCCGAGGGACCGAGCCAGGAAGCAGCTGGCAGGGTGCACGCTTGCTTCTGTTAATGAGAAACGTTTCTCATCCCCCTACTTCAAGAGGCCAGAGAGACGCTCGCCGCCCACGGACTGAGCTGATGGCCTCCTCACCCACCCGGCAGGTCCCAGGGCTGGGGCCTCCATCCCTGTCACTGCCAGCTGCCAGGCCAACTGCCACTGTTGCCCTCAAGCCTGCTGTGCACACCCCCTCCTCCAGTTTTTTGCCCGTGAGCACGCCCTCACCTTTGGGGTGAAGGCCACGCCCCTCACTTGGTCTGGTTCCAGCCATCTCTCAGTCTCATCTCCTCTTCCCAGCCCCCCCCCCAGAGCCTTGACCAGTCGGGGTCCTCCTGGAGCTCCACTCACCTTAGGGTCTCTGTGCTGCTTGTCCCCACCCTGCAGCACCCTCTCCTCCCCTGCGCCCATTTTGGGCTTGTTTAGATGCTTCTTGTTCTTGGTGATCCAGCTGAGAGAGCCCCTCCTGGGGGGTGGGGGGGCTGCATGCCATCCCCTCCTAGACCCCCTGGTGGGGTGAGGGTGAGGGGTCCTGGGGTCCCTCCTCCCAGGTCCCTGCATCCATCTCTGGTTTTCTCTGGTTTCTCAGTGCCCCCTCCCGGGGCTTGGCCTGAGTCAATCACTCCTAGATTGAGAGAGAGAGAGAGAGAGAGAGAGAGAGAGAGAGAGAGAGACCCCCAGCATCCCTTGACTTGATAATGTTGGTCATTTGAGTGAAAAAAGTGGAGGAGCTGTAGGGTTGGTAGCGATGTCTGGGAGAGGAGGCAGGAAGGGGTGAGAGGGAGGAGGACTGTTCTGATCTGCCCTTCGTGTTGACTTCGCTGTTGTTTTGAGTTCACTGCCTGGGTATTGCGCTGGGGAGTCATTGGGGGGCCCTCTAGCTGGGACAGGTGTGAGGATCAGGGCTCATGTCTGCAGATGAGAGGGAAGGAAGCAGGTGGGGGCAGCGGGTTCCTACCCTGCGCCCTGGTCACCGTCTCTTTCGTGAGCAGCTGGTGGGAGCCCGGGGACTCGAGCACATCAGGTGTGCGCCCTGGGGCTGGATTCAGCCGCTACTCATCAACGAGACCTGTGAGCAGAGAGTCAGCACGTCTCAGTGTCCCCTACAGGTGACCTCAGGTGGACAGCGCAGCACAAACAAGTGCCCTCCGCTCCCCAGCCCAGCCTGGGAAGTAATGACCTCATGGGTAGGCCTTGGGCCCTAGACCCGCTCTCCCAGCTTACACTCCAAACACTGACACAGCAAGATGAAAACAGGTCCAACTCCGGCTGACAGACAGACTGACCGATGAGGGATGGACCGCTTGAGCGGAGCTCCTGCTTGACTTAGAGGGGAAGCTGGGGCCCAGGAGCCATGGCCTCTGGCTGTTTGAAGCCTGCACAATGGAGCTAATTGGCTTCAACAGTTTTCTCTCTCGATTTTTAAATCCTTTTAGCAGCAGATTATGTGGGACAATGGGCTGAGTTCAGGGGCCATCATTAGGCCAGGGAAGGCTGCCTGGGTCTCTCCTGGGGACATGCCGCAGGTGGGAAGAGTGCCTCTGAGCCAGATGACAGTTTATTCCGGGAGCCCTCACAGCCAGCCTGCACGTCTGTGCTCAGCGCCCACAATCCCGAGGTCCCTAGCTCTCTCCTTGGCTCTTGCTCGGGGTGAAAAGAGGCACTGAGCCCAAGTCCCACACCTCTGACCTCTGCCCTTTGTGGCTGGGGGGGGGGGGGGGGGGCGGAGGAGGGACACTGGCCACTGCTCTCCCAGCTCCTGCCTTTGGTCCCTCTTGTCCCTGTAGCTTTTGATTTCACCTGCCTGTCCCCACCAGTCTACAAATCGGCAGCCATTGTCCCCCCAGGCACGTCTGCATGGCTCTTAACCCTTTCCCGGCAGGCCCGCCCCATCGCTGCTCCAGGGTGCAGGAGCCCTGGCCCTGGGTGGGGGGCTCTGGTCCCAGTCAAACCAGGACTAGGAACGAACTCTGCCCAGAGTGCTGGGCCTCTTGCCCCACCCCCCACTATGAATGTGGGGCTTGCTGGAGAGTTTGGGGAGCATGGGTCCCCTAAAACAGAGCCCTCATAAAAGGTAGAAGAGGGGCACCCCTCCCACGGCTGCTGTCCTTTCTGAGGGCTCTGCAGCCACATTCGCAAAACTTGGATTCGCCCACCTGCATTGTAACCAGCACCAGCAAATGCAGGGAGGGGCCTGAGCAGGAAAGGCCATCTCTGACCTGGGATGTAGCCCGTCGCTGGCCCTGGGGCAGGGGAAGGACAGGAAAGCCACAGAAGCCAGTGGAGACCCAGCTCCCGGGCCCTGCCCCCGAGTGACCAGAGGTGCAAGGCCAGAGACTGGGGGAGGAAGTGGCTGTCTCATCACGAACTCTCTGTAAAGGTGTCCTCAGAACATCAGACTGTCATTCCTTCCTGACAGGGAGTTTGTGGAGAGCAAGTTAGTCTGTGTCTCTACGTCTCCCCTGGGATGAATGACTCTGCAGGGGCTGCCTGTCCAGGTGGACGCGGGAGTGTTTGTTCAAACCACTGGTAGCTCACCTGTGTGATTGAGATCAGACTGACCACACCCGGAGGCCACCTCCCCCCCCACCCCAGAGGCCACTGGACCCACCTGGAGACCATACTTCCTGCAGGGCCCTCTGAAGGCATATGGTGAGAGCACTGAGGAGCCGTTGCTGTCTTGATGATGAACACCCCAGGCTCCGGCTGCTATTAACATGTTGTCATTCACTCACCTGCTCCTTCAAATACTCATTCATTCATTCACCAATGTGCTGAGTTCCAGCTTTGTGCCAGGCCATGAGCTAAGGACACAGAAGAACACATTGTCTCCTGGGGGAGGCCGGTAGGGCAGGCAGCAGCCATCTACAACTAGGGAGAAGGTGGGTGACAAAGGTGAGTGGCACATTCAGGCTATCTGGGCACTGGCAGGGGGTTCAAACTGTGCCTGGGCGGGGTCAGGAGGCAGTCCCCTCCCCTCATGCTGGCTACCTTTGGACCCTCACTTAGCCCCTCAGCAAGCATCGTGGGTTCCTCCTCTGCTCCAAATCTTTCAAATTTTATTTCCCCCCCAAACTGTCCCAGGTTTAGGCCAAACCTTCCCTTTCATGCCCCCTCTCCGCTGTATCACACCTGAGATCTGAGCAACAGACAAGGTAGAGACTATCTGTTCCATTTCACAGATGAGGACACTGAGGCCCAGAAAGGAACCCATGTGCTCAGGAGTGGATGAACCCATCACCAAGAAAGAGCCAATGGACACAGACGGTGGTGTGGTGAGGGCCTGGGGGAGAGGGGCTGGAAAGAGGGGAGTAAAAGGGGGGGATTAGGGGACATTGTAACATTGTCAACAACAACAAAACAAGAGAGAGCCAGATAGTGCTATTCCTCTGGTTGCGATTTGTAGCCAGCAGGGGACGAACTCCCCCAGGCTCTGGCAATAGGTGAAAGTCTACTTATCAGACACGGTGGATATAGCGTTCCATACACACAATATGTCCTTCTAAGCATCTTATAAATATTAATTCACTTAATCCTTATCACAGCCCTAGTGGGTAGGGGCTATGAGTAGCCTCATTTCAACGATTAAAAAAAAAACCACACAAAACCCCGCAACGGCACAGAGAGGCCAAGCAACTGGCTTGTAGGTGTTCAGTGGCCAAGGGGCAGAGCCAGGACTCAGGGGTAGGTGCCAGCTCCGGAGTCTGCACTGAGCCGCCAGCTCCGCTGCCTCTCAGGTGTCCACCGTGCAGCTTTAAGGAGGATAGGAAGATTGAGTGCTCTGTGGGGAAAGCTCATGATAAAAAGGAGTGAAAAGCAGCATTCAACATTGCACACATACTATTTTGTTTGCAAATAGGAGAAAAATATAGATGTATTTGATATTGTAAAAAACCTGCGATGGGTCTGTTACCTGGGGCCAGGGCCTGGCAGGGGGCAGACACAAAACCCCAGACACAAGAGTGACTAGCGTGGAGGAATGGGGGTGGGAGGGGCCTTCCTCTGTTTCCTCTCCTGCCCACTCACCATTGTCTTCACAACAAAAATAACTCACTTGCCCGTGAATGGGTTTCTTTCAAGTGTCACTTTAAAATTCCTATTGGATTCTCCAGGCTCGCTCAGGTGCCTGGAATGAGAGGAAGGGGGTCCGTTTTCCGGGCTCAGGACAGAGGGACAGGAGTCCCACCTGCCTGCACTGGGCTTTGAGGCTCAGAGGGCATGGCCTGAAAGAAAAATGGCATTTCACTGGGCACACGGGAACATCCCAGGTAACCAGACCTCAGGTACGCCGCTCTGTGTGCGAGGCCAGGCGCTTGGCGGCTCCGCAGGCTCCAGCTCTGCGGACATTTCTCCAGCTCCAAACCCACCGGGCGCTGGCTTTGTTGAGGGGCCAGGCCAGCAGCTGTGGTTCGAGGGAGGCTGAGGCTTGGTCTCTAAAGATGGGAACCCTGCAGACCTTCCGCAGCCACTGGTGCTGTTGATATGGGTTTGCAGCGTCTGGGGCCACTTCTGTCACAGCTGAGGTGCCCGGCGTGGGCTCGCTCCCTGAAAGCTACTTGCTCCCACGCATGAGTGCCCACATGCCATGTGGGTCTTCACACAGTGTGCTCAGTGCAGTCAGCCTCTGCCCTCAGACCAACCCATTCTGTGACCTGACTGTCTGTGCCTCAGTTTCTGTCTCTATGAAATGGACACATAGTAACACCACTTCATAGGGTTTTTGTGATGACAAACCCCTTAGTATGGCCCCACAGGTAGTGAGTATGGGGACGATGTCAAGAGCTATGACTCTTCAGCCCTTACAGCACCCCTGTGAGGGGCTTTCTGGTTGCCCATCCTTTGTGGGTGAGGAATGAAAGTGCATTCGATGCAGGTGAGAAGGGAAGTAAGGGGTCCAGAGTCACAGGGCAGTGGCGTAATATTTGTTTGGGTCCATTCCTGGATTAACACCACCTCCCTCAGAATGGTCAGCCCTGGATCCCAGGTCTGGGGTTGTGGCAGGCTCATCCCCGTGGAACTCGAAGCAGCTGAGAGTCCCACCAGACACTGAGACAATGAAAAGAACAAAATAATTGATTTTTATTTTTTTACTTAAATTTATTTCAAAGGAAACTTTATACCTTTATCACGAATAGAGAGTAGCATCACGTGCTCTAATTAAGATGTAACTTTAAAAATGAATTCAATATGGGGGTTCCAGTTAAATGTCGGTGTAGGTAAATGCAGTCCTCGCATCACCCCATGACCACATCAAAATTACAACTAAGCCGCAGAACGGCCGTCATTCAGAACCACCTGAAATCGAGCTGAATAGAAGTTGTACGACTAAGGATATAAAGAAGAAGCCACATCGAGGCTGGTAGGAGGGGCAGAAATGCAGAATTGGCTGGTCTCATACCCACTTGTGGCGG